GTCTGACAAAAGGGACTCTCATTAAGAAAAACTAAAACTGAATGAAGAGCTGCAATAGAATCTGATCATTCTATTTCTTTACAGTTGTAACACAGTCTAATTGTTACAGAAAAAAAGTTCTAATGATAAAAAGAAAACTGCACCCAGACTACATCATTTAAATGTCATAGAATCACCCTCATTCTTTTTTTATATAAAGTATTTGTAAAATAAAAAAGGTGCTTAGTTTACACACCTTTAAACCCTGCTATTCCAGAGGCAGAGATAGGAAGGATAAAAGTTTAAGGCCAGTCCAGGCAAACATAGCTTCAGACCCCATCTGAAAGACAAACTAAAAGCAAAAGAACTACAGGGCATATTAAATGTTAGACAGTTTCCCTAGCCAACAAGAGGCCCTGAGTTCAATCCCTAGTAATGTAAAACAAAACCAAAGAAAATAAGCCAGTTGGGTACCATTGGCCACACCCTGTAATTCTAGTTACTGGGGAGGCTGAGAAAGGGACAATTATGGTGCAAGCCAGTCTAGGCAGAAAAGTTTACAAGACCCTTTCTCAATAGCTGGATACAGTGATACATCTATTATCCTAGCTATATGGAAGGACAACAAGACCAGGAGAACTAATCCCAGGCTACAAAGACAAAAAGTCTGCAAGACTCCATCTCAGTGGAAGAATCACGATGTGGTGGTAGATGCCTATCATTCCACCTATTGATGAGATTTGTAGGCAACTAAGCAGGAAACCAGACTCTACCTCAAAATAACTAGCACAAAAAGAGATGGGGGTATGGCTCAATGGTACATCACTTGCCTACCAAGTGTTAAGTCCCTGAGTTCAAAACCCCAATATTTCACAAAAAAAGTCATTTTAATCACAATGGAAATATGAATCAGACTGAGCGTGATATTCATAGTAAAGGAATGTAAAGCTTGTTATCATGATTGTTACAGAAACAAAAGTCATGCAGGTACACAGAATGTTTCCCTATATTTTTTGCAACACTATGTACCTGTTTAATAAGAAAAATACATAAACATAAAAATAAATATGTGGTTCTGTATGAGTAAGCAGAAGACAACTGCAGGAGGCTGACAAGCCCAATCATCTCCCCCTTTTCTTTTTTTCTTTTTTTTTTTTGGGGGGGGGAGGGGGCAGAGTCGTTCATGGGGCTTGAACTCTGGGCCTGGGTGTTATCCCTGTTATCCCTTCAGCTCAAGGTTAGCACTCTACCACTTGAGCCACAGCACCACTTCCGGTTTTCTGGTGGCTTATTGGAGAGAAGAGTCTCACAGACTTTGCTGGCTTTGAACCTCAATCCTCAGATCTCAGCCTCCTAAGTAGCTAGGATTACAGGCATGAGCCACTGGTGCCCGGCCATCTCCCCCTTTTCTAATATAAAACAAGAAAGTTTTAAGCTCCCAAAGTACTTTTTACCTGAATTTGAACTTTACTAATCTGTATTTTTTTTCCATTTTTCCTCAACACAAATTAAAACTATCGTCTCTGGATCCTTAAAAAAACACCTACTTAAATGTTTAAAATAGCCTGTTTTTTAATTCAGAATAGATAAAAACATCCATGGATTAAAACCCATATCCTGGCCAGGTGTTTTTCTAACCTTTTTGAAAATAATACTTTTTTTTTTTTTTTTGGCAGTACTGATGTTTGAACTCAGCAAATGCCAATTGTGTCAGCCCCCAGCCCTTTCTGCTTTATTTTTGAATACTGTTTAACTGGGCAGGGGGAGTGCTCCCTGGATTTGTATTTTCCCAATAGCTGGAATTACAAGAAACAAACTCTTGCCATCAGTCATCTTGTAGACTCAGACCAGGTCTCCCAGTTTTTTGTCCCAGCTGGCCTAGAACCATGATCCTCCCAATCTCTCCCTCTCAAATAGCTGGGATTACAGCTCATGTTTAAGATAGAAAACATAGCTACTTAAGGAGTTGATCCACCGCAGCCCAGCTACTTGATGTCTTTTAAAAGGTTACATACTTATTATTTTAATCTGAAAAATGCTAAAATGCTCTCTCCTAACCCATCTGTTGCAGATCCAATTATCTTGACACCTGCATTAAATAAAAGCTGCTGTTTCTTATCTAAATATTTTGCCCCTTTGACTTCATAACATCTCAAAGAGATAATCCTGAGCCTAATTATTCCATAAAAGTAATTTTCATTACCTCCCAAGTAAGTATCATTATACTTAACTTTTGCAGTATAAAAAAAAAATTAAGACAGGTGTGGCACATGCTGGGAGGCTGGGGCAAGAGCATCTAAGGCCAGCCTGGACTACATAGCAAGTCCAAGGACTACATGACACTGTCTATAAAAAGAAAAAAAACTGGGCACTAGTGGCCAATGCCTGTAGTCCTCCTCATTCAGGAGACTGAGATCTGAGGATCATGGTTCAAAGCCAGCTGGCCCAAGAAAAAATCTATGAGATTCTTATCTCCATTTAACTACCCCCATAAAAGCTGAGAAGCAGAGCTCTGGCTCAAGTAGTAGAGCACTAGGCCTTGAGCAAAAAAGTTCAGGGACAGCACTTTGGACCTCAGTTCAAGTCCCAGAACCATCACTAAAAGGAAAATAAATCATTGCACTGTGGAAACTGCAACTATTTTAAATTGGTTCTTACAGTGTAAATCGAGATGATTCTATAAACTCACCACAAAGCAGGAAATCTTTAGATTATTAATTTCTTGTGTAAATCCTGAGTAACTCAGTAATGCTAAGGGTAACTGCAGTTAGAGAGAGCACAAAAATTCACTATTTGGCCACTTTCCTTCTCAATGTTTCTATAATGTATACACAAAGTTTACATAATGAATAAATTTTTCCATTCTAGCACATTCATACAAGTGTGGGTAAGTTTATCTTTTTCTGATACACATTTAATAGGGACTAAGAGTTATAAATTGACTGGAAATATGGCTCAAGTGGTAGAGCAAATTGCCTACCAAGAATGAAGCTCACGTACGAGTTCAATCCCCAGTATTTTCCAAAATAACAATAATGTTATATAAAATGCCAAAAGTGAACATAGGAAAAAGGGGATTGTTCTACAAAACGATATATACTGTTAAAAGCTCTGAATAAAATTAATAAAGTACTAGTTCTTTTACTCCTGCCTCTCACCCCTCTCCTGTGAAAGGCAGCAATAGTCAGAAATGGTTAAAACACAAAACCCAAGCAGAATCACAAGAACGGTGGGACTTCGCAGAAGGAAACTAAGATTTCAAACGTCAACGTGTGATCGTAAGTCACAGCACCCGTACACCCAACTCTTAAGTACTTTTGTCCTTCCGCTAATAACCTAAGTCAACTTCCTATAAAACACAAAAGTTCCAGTACTAGCAAAAAAAAAAAAAAAAAAAACCCCAAATGCTAGTGAAAGTTGGTTCTCATAAGGTACACTTACAAATCTGATTTGACGCTGATTCCAGGAGTTTACAACGATGCACGGCACATTGACGTTTAAAAAGAAAAGAAAAGAAAAGAAACCTATCTACTAAAACAGTCTAAGAAACACGGCTAGAGCGGGACGCTTGCAACTTATCAAAGCACAACTTCCTTCAAGTCTACGGACCCAGGAACAAAGGATCGGTTCCGAAAGTTAAACTGGCGGACCCGGCACGGACGCCGAGGGGGAACTTTAGTGACACACCCAGGGCAGACCGCCACGTTAAGGATACAGCTCTTCCGAGGCGGAGAGGGCTCTCGCCAGCTCTGACTGCAGCTGAAGCCGGCTCCCGGTCCTCCTCCCAGAGGAGGTCTGCCCCCCGGCTTGCCACCTCGCTCACCCACTCCTCGTCCCCGACTCCAGCGACTCCCACCCCGGTAAGGCCTGCCTCGAAAGCGGAAACGGTCCAGGGCGAGGTGGCTCCGCTCCCAGAAGGACGGCCGGGGGCTGCTCTCGGAGAGAGCGCTGGGAGGCATCCGCGCCGAGGGCGGATGAGATCGGAACGGTTCTTTGGGTCGGTAGCTGCTGTGTCCCCTGAGGTGGCCCCGCTCCGACGCGTGCCGCGAGCGGGAGAAATTTCTCAGCGGCTGCTGAGAAGAGGACGATGACGAGGAGGAACCGCCGCCTCCGCCCGATCCACCGCCCCGAGCCGGGTGAGGCGGCCTGCGCCGCGGGTAGGGCAAGAGCCCGCCGCCGCCGCCGCCGCCGCCGCCGCCACCGCCGCCGCCGCCGCCGCCACCGCCGCCGCCGCCGCCGCCGCTGCTGCTGCTGCTGCTCCGGCTCCGTATCTGGCTGTTATTGTCGTCGTCGCTGATCTCCCCATCTTCAAGCTCCCCTTCTTCCTTCGGGGAGAGGCTGCTGGAGGCCGGGGCCGAAGTCTCCGCGGTCGCCATCGGCGGAACTGCGCTTCCGACACCACCTTCGTCCTCGGTCCCCGGAGCCTCCCGACAACTGCCTTCCAGCGGGGCTGCCGCCCTCCCTAACGGACTGGATGGGTGCGGCCTCACGGTTCTCAAGGCACCCAGCGGGCTCTGGCCCCCTAACTTCCCCGCACCCCGATTCTTCCTCGCCGGACTGTCGCCAGGCACTTCTCTCTCCTAGCGCCCCCTGGCTCATCCACCGCCGGGGCTCTTCCGCCTAGCGAGAAAGGGAGTCCACCAGCGGCTCCGTCCCGGACGTCATTTCCTCAGGCACGCAGGAAACGAAGGGCTCCCTGTTCTCGCGATAGCCAGCCGGCGCCGCAATGTTCGCTGGGATTCGTAGTGCCTCCTGCCTGTCACCGGGGTGCTCGTCGTAACCAGCCAATCTTGGGGCCCAGGGCGCCTCTGCGAGGCCTCTGGCCTGGTACCGCTGGGTACGTGCCCGGGAGGGCGGGCCTGCCTTGAGTTGCAGACGTGTGTGTTCACCGCCACGGGTGGGGAAGACACCTCTATCTTTTAATAGCTCGCGAGCCGCTGTCAAAAAGAGACGCCGTGGTCCTAACGCCTTGCCGAGGGGAGGGGTAGGGTGGGGGGGAAAGGGAGAGGGGGGCCCCCGAAACGGGTTGTGTCCGCCATGTTGGTGAAGGCACACGGAGGCTCCTGGGGCTCCAGGCCCGTCGGCTCTGCTGGCGTCAGTCCGCCATATTAGTAAAGAGAAAGGGAAGGGCGACCCTCCCTCACGCCCCCCGCCCCAAGCACACTCCTTCCCGCTCCGCGGTCGCTACTACGGGCCGGAGGGCCTCGGCCGCCCCGGGCTGCCCGGCTTCTGACGGGGGAAAGCCGTCGGGGAGCGCCGGATGAGGGCAAGCGGGAAATGCCGACCAACTGCGCCGCGGCGGGCTGCGCCACCACCTACAACAAGCACATTAACGTCAGCTTCCACAGGTAACTCGGGAGGGCCCGGGGGAGACAGGAAGGGGGCGCCACCAGCGCGGGCTCCGCTCGGCTGAGACCGAACCGGCGCCGTCCCGCCGGCGGGGACGGAGCCTGCCCCGCCGCTGCCCGCCCAGCAGCCTTCGGGGCCTTCGTGCGTCTCCTGTCCGCCTGTCTGTCTGGTTTTCTCTCCTTTCGGGAGGGGAAAGTTGGCTCCCGTTTCTTTAAAGCGAAAAAAATAAAATCCCAGTAGTGTACTGAGGAAAAAGTGAGGGGACGATACCTTCATGTTTTACTTGTATCCCTCAATACTGGACCGTGCCTTGAGACTGACGCCACGGGGGAGGGGGAGAGAGGGGGGAGGGGGAGGGGGAGAGGGAGAGGTCTTTTCCTGTTCAAGGCACTCATCACCTTGAAAGCCTGCAGGTGTTCGCGTTTTCATTGAGGCCGTGTTGCCTGGCTGAATTGACAGGGACAACATTGACATTTCTAACAGTCGCACACAGCAACTTTTGGGACAACTGAGGCATCATTGATAGGCCTGGAATTAATTGCTAAGGATAAGCTTTTATCCTTAAAGAAAATAATAATAATAAATAAAAAGAACGTGGGGTTTGGGGTCGTCCCCCCCTTTTCTGAAAGAGCTATCCAAAGTCCTGAGTGCTGTCAAATCAAAACTCTTGAAAGCACTTTGTATACTGCCTGGAATGTAATAGGTACTTGCTAAGTGTCCTCTTCAAGTGCCTGTCACCTGCCTGAAGAAAAGAAGTATTAAAAAGTGAAGTTAAAACAGCTCTGATTTTTGGGCTGGGAAGGTGGCTCATTGGTAGAGCATGCCTGAGGCCCTGGGTTCGATTCCTCAGCACTACATAAGCAGAAAGAAAAAAGCCGGAAGTGGCGCTGTGGCTCAAGTGGTAGAGTGCTAGCCTTGAGCTGAGGAGCTGAGGGGCAGCGCCCAGGTTCAGAGTTCAGGCCCCACGACCGGACCCAAAAAAAAAAAAAAGCTCTGATTTTATATATCTCACAATTTATTTGATCTTAGAATATTAAAAAAAAAAATCTTACTTCACTATTACTAAATGTGCCCCCTTGGTAATAGTTATCATTTAAAAAAATCCTTATGATGTTTTGTTTTAAAGTACTACATGCTTTATTCATTCATCCATCAGATATGTACCAAGTTCCTAATTGCCTGACAATCTAAGGATCCACAAAGTTCCTACCTTTCTTCTGAACTTTACTGTTGAAAGGGGAAGACATAAATACATGAAGTGGGGAAGGGCATCATTCAGAAAGACCTAACAGCTTTGGAAAGTCAAAGAATTCTTCTCAAAAGATGTGACATTCCAAATAAGACCAAAGGATGACATAGATTTGGTCCTTTATGCTACTTTAGTATTTTCTATTTTATTTTGAGGGCACTTGACAAGCCATGGAGAGTTTAAAAAGAACAGCATGACTAGATTTGCATATTTAAAAGCCCTCTGGTTGCAGTACAGATGCTAGTTAAGCATCATCAGAGGTGAATTTGATTAGCAGCTTATTATAGAATGCTAATTTTCATATTTTCTTCAGAGAAATGTTGCTACATTTTAAACTGAACTAAATAGTGTTGCTTAGTTGTTCCACATGAGCACAGTATTTGAAGAGAGTGAAAATAGAAAAATAAGACAAAAAACTAGGAAGCTGTAGTAAAGTAAGGATAGTCCACCCAGTGGCCTCGAGTAGGCAAATGTTACTAATAGGGATGAGAATCAGACAGTCAAGGAAAAACTACTGGATTTAGTCATTTGATTTGGAGGATGAGAGAAAAATGCCCAGGAACTAAAAAATGATGTTTACCTGATATCAGTTAGGAACTAGGTATAGTGGCTCACACCAGTAATCCCAACTATTCTGGAGGCTGAGATCTGAGAATGGAGAGTTCAAAGCTAGCCAGGGAAGACAAATCCTGAGAGACTCTTATGTCCAATTCAGCAGCAAAAATGCTGTATGAAGTGTGGCTCAAGTGTGGCCCAAGGCACCATCCTTAAGCAAAAAATCCAAGCAAGAATGTAAGGCCCTGAGTTCAAGCCCCGGCAAGCCAGTATACACTCTCTCTCTCTCTCTCTCTCTCTCTCTCTCTCTCTCTCTCTCTCTCTCTCTCTCTCTCTCCCTCCCTCTCTGCCCCCCTCCCCTCTTTCTCTCTCCTCCCTCTCTCTTCTCTCTCTCTCTCTCTCTCCCCCCCTCCTCTCTCTCTCGTAGGGAGGGAGGAAGGAAGGAAGAGAAGGAAAGAGGAAGAAAGTGTTTAAGGATAGTCTGGACTACATAGTGAAGTCCTGCCTCCAAAAAGACTTGGAAAAAAGGGGGCTGGGAAGGTGGCTGGAAGTGGCGCTGTGGCTCAAGTGCTAGAGTGCTAGCCTTGAGCTGAAGAGCTGAGGGACAGCACCCAGGCCCAGAGTTCAGGCCCACAACCGGACCCAAAAAAAAAAAAAGAAAGAAAAGAAAAAAATATATGTATTATAATAAAAATATTTTCCATTTTGTAAACAATAACAGTAAATAACATGAAGTGGGGAAGGGCATCATTCAGAAAGACCTAACTCTGTACTGAGCTGGAAATGTGGCTTAGTAGTAGAGTGCTTGCCTAGCATTCATGAAACCCTGGGTTCTATTCCTCAGTACCACATAAACTTGAGCTGTGGCTCAAGTGGTAGAGTGCTAGCCTTGAGCAAAAGAAGCTCAAGGACAATGCCCAGACCCTGAGTTTAAGCCCCAGGACTGGCAAAAACAAAAATAAAAATAAATATTCTGTACTGAGGGGTTGCTTTCCAGCCACCAATATGATATTACTGATCAAGGAGTTGTGAAGAGATGTATAAACATCACACTATTCTATATTATTTCTACCATGTAGATGTAACAGACATTTAATAACATTAAAAGAATAGTAATAGTAAAATAACTAAGAAGTTGAGGGATTTAGTGCTTACTATTTATTTCAAGTTTATGTAGTTTATTTTATTTTGTGTGTGTGTGCTGCTACTGGGGCTTGAATTCAAGCCCTCTCTTACTTAGTTTTTTTCTCATGCTGGTATTCTACCATTTGACCCATGCTTCTACATCTGGGTTTTTGTTGATTAATTGGAATTAAGAGTCTCTCGCATGTTTTTGCCCAGGCTGAATTCAAACCTTGATCCTCATCTCTCAACTTCCTGAGTAGCTAGGATTACAGGCGTGAGCCACTGACAACCTGGCTGTTATTTAATTCTTAATAATGGTTGGGCTTAAAGGTTGGTTCAGAATTTCACTATTAACATTCAGCTCTTGCAATTAAGCCCTTTAAAGGGCTGAACATATTCAAATAACCATTTTGAATATTTTAAAAAATTGTCTGCCGAGTGCTGGTGGCTTTTGCCTGTAATCCTAGCTACTCAGGAGACTTGAGATCTGAGGATCATGGTTCAAAGCCAGCCCAGGCAGGAAAATCTGTGACACTCTTATCTCAAATTAACCACCAAAAAGCTGGAAGTGAAGCTATAGCTCAAATGGTAGATCACTAGCTTTGAGCAAAAAAGCTCAAGGAGAGTGCATGGTCTTCAGTTCAAGCCCTGAGACTGGCAAAAAAAAAAAAAACCTTATTTATTCATTTCATGTCATAATAACCTTGCTGGTCCCCAGTATACCCTTAACACCTCACCTCTTTCAGTTAATACTCTAAGGACTCCAGATTAAATTGGCTGTTCTATGATTCCATTCAGCCCTGTACTACACACTGGAGTAAGCATTTGCACTTTCTCATTAATCCTTAGAACCATTGTTACATTATTCTATAGGTAAATACAAAGAAGACTTGGGTCTGAGGGTATAGAGCACTTTCCCAGCAGGTGTTAGGCCATAGGTTGGATCCCTGACATTACCACCGAAAAAGCATGAGAGAGAAACCCTTAAAAGTTTAAATAACCTACCTAAAGTCTCCCAACTGTTATAAAGAGGGGACAGAATTTGCAGAGATGATATTCTTATGCACTGTGTTGTCCAGTACATTAAGACCATTCAGTTGATTCTTTGAATTGGCTTTTATAATTCTTTTTATAACTTAAAAGCATAAGATAATCAAACTAGAGATTTGAACTGGAACTTAATTATGAGTAAATGTTGACACCTCAGTTTCCAATCAGTTAACACAGCCACGAGTAGGCTTTTAGAAATAGCGCTCCACCCCCCAAAAAAAGAAATAGCCCCTTTCTTTTCCTTAACAAATCAATATAGGATATATATTAGTGTGCTTTATATTTGAAACAAATAAGAAAAAAACATAGCTACTAATAGTATTTCACCTTTTCTAATTATGCTTTCTGCTGCACTATAAAAGTTAATTGATTTAGGGTGGGAAGGTGGCTCAGTGGTAGAGTGCTTGCCTTGCATGCAGGAAGCCCTGGGTTCAATTCCTCAGCACCATATAAGTGGAAGAAGCCGGAAGAGCTGAGGGACAGTGCCCAGGCCCAGAGTTCTGGCCTCACGACCAGGAAAAAAAAAAAAAGTTAATAGATTTAAAGATATATATAGATAGATGATATAAATATATATTCAGTTTAACTACATAGAAGAAACACAATGAATTAATTCTGTATTTGTATATCTTCAGCAAGTTTTGTTCATTCCTTTCTATTTTCAATGTACTTTGCCAAGTGTCAATAAAAAAAATTAAGTTTAAAAATAAAGTGATTCCCATCCTTAAGAAACTCATAAATTTTGTTTCACTGGAAATTTACCAAAATGGAAAATGTGTAAAACAATGTGCTGAGTGTCATGAGTGAACAGAGAAAGCAGTACTAGAATCTGCCCTGATTTTTCTTGACTTTAGATAGCTGATTTATTTTAACCATGTATACAAACAGCAGATCAAAGCATTATAAAATTACCCCTACTTCTAACGGTTCCACATAACATTTATCTAGATCAGTTTAGTTATGTTTTATTTTTCTACCTATATTAAAAACTAGGTTAAGAAGAAATGTCTAAAAGCTCTGAAAAATAAAGCCCGTTTCCCTGTTGTTGTTTTTTTGTTTTGGTTTGGTTTGGTTTTTTGGTGGTATTGCTAATTTTTTAAACACTGTTTGAAATTTAGCATGAATTGATACCTATATATTATGAATTTAAATATTTTTATGAATTAGAGACATTTTTTATTTCTTTTTGCCATTTAGTTTAACTATGATATTGGAATTTCATTTGCTTTTTCTGTTTGCTTGCTTTAAGGTTTCCCTTGGATCCTAAAAGAAGAAAAGAATGGATTCGCCTGGTTAGGCGCAAGAATTTTGTGCCAGGAAAACATACTTTTCTTTGTTCAAAGCACTTTGAAGCCTCCTGTTTTGACCTAACAGGACAAACTCGACGACTTAAAATGGATGCTGTGCCAACCATTTTTGATTTTTGTACTCACATAGAGTCTGTGGTAGGTGATATTACTTTCTTTTTTATGAAACCATTTTTAGAACCACTCGTTTTTTTTCTTATAAATATGGTAACAATTCCAAATATATTAAAGTTCTTATACCATGATATGCCTCAAGAAAGTTCTAGACCTTCCTCTTGCAGAATAAAGCTTTAGATTAGAAGTAGAACTTAGGTCTACAGGCTCCAATGTTCTTTCCCCAGTCCAAATTATTTGACTATACAGACTGAGCATTCCTATCATGAAATCCAAAATGCATTTCAGATTTCAGACTTTTTGTCTAAAAGCCACTATGGTTCCAAGCATTTTGAATAAGAAAATATTCTACCTGTATTGGAATTTTACATAGCTGCCAATTATTCTGAACAAATGTACTATTGATTAAAATTGAGAGACATTACTAATGAAACCGCTAATATTACTCTACTCTGATTTTAAGATGACATATAAGTGAGCTGTTCTTAGTGCTTAAAGAGGAACATACACACTAGAGTTATTCCAAAAGATGTAGTTCAGAGGTGGGCACAGAAAGTTTCAATGAGTTTTGGCATTCATTGGGACTATTGGGAGTTTGGATCCTAGGAGCAAGTTTATGACCTTGCAGGAAACAATTCCAATTGAATAGTAAGAACCCAAGCCAGTAGGTTGAGAAGGATAATTAGGAAATTATCAAATACTAAAAGTGAATATCTGAAACAAGGAGAAAATTAAGATATGGGATGAATGAATCAGACCCAGTGTTTTGGGACTTAGACTATAGATATAGCTCTGTGGTAGAATGTGTGCTTGGCATGTAGAAAGCACTGAGTTTAATTCCCAGCACTCTAATAAAATTTATGTTTTACCTTTGGGTAAGGAAGATCTGATTAGAGAAGAAAAGCTAGCTGAGAAAGTCACCAAAAAGAAAGGCTATAATGAACACAAGTATAAGGTTTAGTTTTGAAAAGGACAGACATCTTTTCCTCTAAGAAAGAAGAAACATTGAGTTATTTCTTCCATTTTAATTTGTAGATACATATGAGTTAATAACTAAATGGGAGAGGAATTGTGGTTTTAGAATATCAAACATTCCAGAAGGCCAACAATATTTCATTACTCTTTTTTTTTTGTTGTTGGTCGTGGGGCTTAAACTCTGGGCCTGGGCGCTGTCCCTCAACTCTTCAGTTCAAAGCTAGTACTCTACCACTTGATCCACAGTGCCACTTGTGGCTTTTTCTGGTTTTGTGGTGCTGAGGAATCAAACCCAGGGCTTCATGCCTACAAGGCAAGCACTCTACCACTGAACTACCTTCCCAGCCCCATTTCATTACTCTTAAACAGTTCAATATACACTGACATTTGCTGAATTTGCAGTGCATCTTATTTCTGATATTTTGACCAGTTGTTGTTCTAATAAGTACTAAACTTTACATTATGTTAGAATCTAAGAATGTAATGTAAACAGCAAGAATGAGTCCTGCCAATTCCCTCTGCAGGACCCACAGTTGGTTTTATAAGGACATGTCTTATTTTGTCACCATAGTATGTTTTTTTTTTTTTTTTTTTTTTTTTGTCGGTCGTGGGGCTTGAACTCTGGGCCTGAGTGCTGTCCCTCAGCTCTTCAGCTCAAGGCAAGCGCTCTACCACTTGAGCTACAGCACTACTTCCGGTTTTCTGGTGGTTTATTGGAGATAGGAGGGAGTCTCACGGTCTCTCCTGCCCGGGCTGGCTTTGAACCACGATCCTCAGATCTCAGCCTCCTGAGTAGCTAGGATTACAGGCGTGAGCCACCAGCGCCCGGCCATAGTATGTTTTTCATCAAATTACTTTTTTTTTTTTTTTAACTCTGGGCCTGGGCGCTGTCCCTCAGCTTTTCAGCTCAAAGCTAGAGCTCTACCACTTGAGCCACAGTGCCACTTCCAGTTTTCTAAGTGGTTTATTGGAGATAAGAGTCTCATGGACTTGTCCTACTCGGGCTGGCTTTGGACCACGATCCTCAGATCTCAGCCTCCTGAGTAGCTAGGATTACATGCGTGAGCCACCAGCGCCTGGCTTATGACTTTCTATTTAAGTTGTTTTTTCTCTTTTATGAGGAAGGGGACGAGGAAGGGTGGTTAACTTTGTTTTAAGCTAAGATGACCTTAATCCATTAACATCCTGCTTCAGCCTCTTAGGTGCCAGTTTTAGAGGTGTGAGCAACCATGTCTAGTTAATAAACGTTTGTTTAATGAATGAAAAACACAATGTTAGGAAGATTGGTTATAATCTGAGAAACTGTAAGTGGTTTAATATTCCTGGGGCATAGTGAAGAATCCTCAGATTCCTGACTTTGGCCAAAAGTTCCCAGCCAGATTTTTAAACCCTCAAAGATGTAATTGTGAACAATTACTGGGTAAATCCATTTGGAAGCGTGATACTTTAAAAAATGATTCTAACAGTATTTCAGTTCTTATTTAAGTAGACTAAAGGTCTTCATTACTGATCAAATTGATAGAGTAATATTTAACCAGGAAGAGAGTCAAATCAATACTATAGATGAACAAAACATCTAAATATATTCTAAATTGGCTTTTAATTAGAAAAACAAAAAAGGATTTTCAAAGTTGCCATAGAATCATACTGAATAAAGTAGAAGATACCTTGGAAGTTCAGTGTTAACTTTCATGTCAATGTTTGACTATCTCTGGAAAGAATGAAAGAAAATAGGTGACTAGAGTTGACTCAGCCTGTTGAAAAGCTTAATCCATGATTACACAAATAGCATTATTTCACTTCCCATCAAACCTTTAAAATCAGTTTTAAGAGAGCAGTTTTAACACTATTATTTCAAAACTGGACTCTTTTCTTATTTCTGATTTTCCTTAATTTTTGTTCAACTCTTTAATTTATTCGGCTCAGAAACTCAAGTCAAGGAATCTTTTGAAGAGAAACGACAGTTGTACTACAGCTGGACCATCTAATTTCAAGTCAAATATTAGTAGTCAACAAGTGCTCCTTGAACACAGTTATGCCTTTAGGAACCCTATGGAGGCAAAAAAGAGGATAATTAAGCTGGAAAAAGAAATAGCAAGCTTAAGAAGAAAAATGAAAACTTGCCTCCAAAAAGAACGCAGAGCAACTCAAAGATGGATCAAAGCCACATGCTTTGTGAAGAATTTAGAAGCAAATAACCTGTTACCTAAGGGCACATTGGAACACATCTTACCAACTGCCTTAAGCAGTATTCCTTTGGAGGATTTCAAGATTCTTTAACAAGATTAACAACATAAAACAATAGGATTTCTCTAAATCTAAAACAGACCATAATACCTGCATTTAAATTTGTCTTGCACAGAACTTAATGCCCATCCTGCATTCTTTTCAGGGGTTAACATATTTATGGCAATTACACCAAAATTAAATATTTAAGAAGTTTTACTTGACACAGTATTATTACTGTATAACTTAAGAAGACCTTGATTACAAAAAAAAAGGAAACTTTCAATGAAACTTTTATTTGAAAATGAATGGAAGTGCCTTACATGAAAAATGTACTAGAAATTTTGCTAGGAAATTGTATGTTTGCCAGGTGCTTGTTTTGGGGTTTAAATTAAACAGCCTATGACATGTAGTATGTTTAATTAGAAAAAAATTTCTATACAAAAGTTGGGATATTACATCAAAATAAGATGCCAAGTAGTTGTTAATCATACTAAATGTGACCTTAAAACTGCTGGACTTTGAGTTAATTATTACTGGCACTGGCTTGAAAATTTATGGAACAAAACAAAATGAGGTACAGAACAACTTTTTAAATTTAGAATTTCTGCATTTTTTAGATGAGTAAAAGTAAACTTACCATAGGCTCTATAAAAATACTAATTTTTAAATACATTGTGAAATGTTTCGCTAATAATATATTTTTTCAGTGTTAAGGCTTTTAAGTTATCCAAAGTAAATAAGCCCTTAAGTACCTCAGACTAGTAAAAAATTATAATCACCTTCTAAGAAACATGTTGTGAAACAACGCCCAGTTTGAGATCTAGCTTTTACCTTAATAAAACATAAGTGTGGGAAGTGGCGCTGTAGCTCAAGTGGTAGAGCGCTAGCCTTGAGCTGAAGAGCTGAGGGACAACGCCCAGGCCCAGAGTTCAAGCCCCATGAACGACAAAAAAAAAAAAAAAATATGTGTGTACTATTCTTTTTCTCATAATAAAAAAAATTGCATCTCCAACTTTAAAGATGGTGCATTAATGAGCAAACATATTAGACATGTGCTGTCATGTGTTGATAGCAAAACTCTTAAATTTTTTTCTTTTGAACTACCTTCAAACTACATGTTACTAATATCTCAAAAACAGTGTACAATGTTAGTGGACTTCTGTTCCCTTTCCATAAACCCACGGTAAAGTTTAATTACAAAAAAGCACTTAACCATATTTACAACTTAAAATGGAACCAATTTATTTTACGTAAGAGTTTGCTTTGTTTTGTTCTTTTACTGAGTCAGACAGAGCAACCATTATGCAAAAGGGAAATAAAATGTAGTTATCTAAAAATACACGTGTGTCTGTGGCCAAGCTATGCAAATGCTAATTAGTTTACAAAATAGAGGTATCAGTCTATTCTTATGGTGGCCACTTGAACAATTAAAGGGTCTGCTTTATATCACCAAGTGTTTCATAAAAACCTTTTCCTTCAAAAGGCTTTGAATGAATAATGTAAAGAGTTATTAACTTATTACTAAGTTATTAACCCAACTTTAGATTTGTTATTACAACAATATGAAAGATGCATATGCCTAACCATAGCTTACTGTAAATCTATAAAGAAATGTGATTTTGGTTTTGCTTTTGGGCCACCAGTTTGGATTGTCTCTTTGCAAATGATACGTACTTGGAAACTAGCAACAACCTTTTTACAATATTAGCATGATTTCTTTTTAGTAAAGAATGTCTTCCATGCAAACACAAAAATAGGAAATGTCTATTTTAATTCTCATGAGGTAAACATGTATGTAAGTTCTTTTACAGCTGGTATAAGTCTTGTTATTTTACCTTAAGTATTGAATATAGTTCCTTGGAACTGTCAGTGAACAATATGATAAATGGTTTCATATTATCTTTATATAATGTCAAATACCAGTATCTAATCATCAGCAGACACACACTGACCATTTCTCTTTTATAATTACAGTTGAGCAGATAATCATTTTGAAATATGCTATGTTTTGCAAGTATAGATTGTCATGTGCTTTGCCTCTTCATCCTCAGTACCCAACAAAATATTAATCAATGCAACCCAGCTCCTATCTACAATAATATGTTCATAACTTCTTATTTTGGTTCTTTTAAGAGAGGGTCTCACTTGGTAGCCCAAACAGGATACATCCTGCCTCTACCTCCTAAATTCTGAGACTACTGTCATACACCATCAGGCACTAATATATATATATATATATATATATATATATATTTTTTTTTTTTTTTTTTTGGGTCCGGTCGTGGGGCCTGAACTCGGCCTGGGCACTGTCCTTTAGCTCTTCAGCTCAAGGCTAGCGCTCTACCACTTGAGCCACAGCGCCATTTCCGGCTTTTTTCTTTTTGCTTATGTGGTGCTGAGGAATCGAACCCAGGGCCTTGAGCATGCAAGGCAAGCGCTCTACCACTGAGCCACCTTCCCAGCCCCGGCACTAATATATTGATATCTTAATAACATTTTAAAGTCATAAAAATAAAATGCCATAGAATACAAGCTTTTGGCAAAGTTACATGTCTTCATTAACTATTATTTGAAACCACTGAATTAATTACCACTCAGTAACTTTAGAGTAATTTTATTTGTTTTCTCCATATTATTTTCATGTTATTGTCCAGTGAACATGTTCTCAGCATCAAATTGTTTTATTAATATACAACTGTGTACTTTAAACTAGCTTCATGGTAGAGAATGGCAGTGCATACCATTCTAGTAATCCTTAGGCAGAGGCAGTTCTAAGCCAGCTGAGGCTACTTAGCAAAAAGCCCTTCAATCTAGCTTCATTTAGAGAGAAAAACCTAAAAGGAATCTGGTAAAGCCCTATGTTTAGTTTCTTTGCTAAAGCTAATCAGACATAACTTTTTACTCCCATTTTAACACGAATTAGATCCACCAACTGGCCACTAGTTGGGTGCAAAAAATCTAACTGCCAGAGGCTAGGAACTTAATGTAAAAGATGCCTATTGGACTGGAAATACAGTTCATTTATAGAGTTTGTGCTTCATATGCATTAAAACCCAGGATTCAATCTCAGCATTATGAAAAGGAAAAAAGGCTAAACTATGACATATTCTATCCTTAAGTTGTTTAAAGTTTCCTGAGAGAAATAGTAATATTTCTAATATAATATAATAAAAATGCTATTAAAAAATTACAAATCTTTTCATAATCAAGTGCTTTTCTTTCAAAAGTTAACATTTCTTATAATGACTGCCTACAGTGCTGAGACAGCTTTTACTCTTGAAAATAAACACGATATAAACCCTTAATAGTTTTTTTTTGCTGAAATACGGCTATAATTAAAACAAAGCCAAATATTGGATTATATTTGACATTTGTACAAAATATAAATTGATGTCCTACTAGCAGGTTTCTGAAATAATTTAACTTAGTCACGCAAAACAATTGGCACCCATTTTTTGTTATGCACCTTTCTGTTTAGTGGGTGGTATTGTCTCTAATTTACACCAGAAGAAATCTTTTTTAATTTGTAACTTATTTATTCACTGAGACATTTCTCCTGTGCTAGCTTGCACAAGAGATCGAAATAAATGCCTGTTGGTTTAGACGGTTCTAGAATGAACACAGAGCTCCTTCCAAGTCCCTTTTGCTGCTGCTGAGGTGCGTGCGTGCGTGTATGTGTGTGTGTGTGTGTGTGTGTGTACGTGTGTGTACATGTGTGTACTGGTCTCAGGGCCTGTTGGTTTAGATGGTTCTAGAATGAACACAGAGCTCCCTCCAAGTCCCTTTTGCTGCTGCTGCTGTGTGCGTGTGCGTGTGTGTGTGTGTGTGTGTGTGTGTGTGTGTGTGTGTGTGTATACTGGTCCCGGCCTGGATACTGTTCTGAGTTTTTTCGCTAAACATTGGTGCTCTATCACTTGAGCTACAACTCCACTTCCAGACTTTTGGTGGTTAATTGAAGATAAGGGTCACATGGACTTGAGCTGGCTTGTACCATGATCTTTGTACCAAGGCTGAGATCTGAGCTCAGCCTTCTGAGCAGCTAGGATTATAGGTGTGAGCCACCAACGCGTGGCCAAATTCTAAGCTTTTAATATATAAACCATGTTATTAAAATAGGATAAATTATGTAACTTAAAAACATAAAAATATATATATATGTAAATTCCATCAAGGTCATTGTTGACATTGTCTAGGTAGACTTTATAATGTTTATCTAATTTTTCTATGTTAGTATACGGGTAAATTTCAATTTTGTTATAATACTGAAGTGGTTCATATTTATACTAGAAATGGGATTCTTTTGATATCTAGACAGTTGAAAACTTTCTAAATTTAAAGGTTTTGTAATGTATATCACTGTATTCTAAAAGTGTATTTGAAATATTATAAACCTTTTTTCCAAGGAAATTATTGTCATGCCTGTGATTTCTAAAATATATACATAAACTTGTGAAAGTTCTTCCCCTAATTTATCTCTTTAAAAAAAAGCTTCTATAGAATTCCTTACAACTTAAGAGCAAATTGTATAACAAAAATATGTGAAATTTGGGAACAGGAATTCGTTTCAAATTTGTTGCTCAAATTTTATCTAAATGTGCATTGTAGTTTGTTTTAAATGCACTTTACACAGGGTAGGCCAGATAAATGAAGAGTTATGAAAATTCTCTTTGTAAGTATCCAGAAGATCAAGACTTTTTTTTTTTTTTGGTGCTGGAACTGGGGCATGAAGTTGAAATCTTGAACCTGGTTATTGACAGAAACATTTCTGAGTATTTTCAAACTTTGGTGAGGGAATAAAGGTCATTCTTGCACTGTTCTGGTTTACGGCAATAATTAGACACTCTGGGATGGGAAAATGGAAAATGTAGGGTCATTTCACTGGCACTATGACTTAATATACGATTCTAGCCAGATCTAATAGTGGTGAAAAAGAGAGCATCATTCCTGGCATCCAGGAATTGACTTGACATGAATTGACCCTGGTGTCAGAAGATGCCATAACATTCACAGGTAGGCTATGTTTTTCTCATAAAACACCAACTAATTGGACAAGGTCATGGTTATGGTGAAGACCAGTTCCTAACTGTCTAAGCAGAGAGTGTAAGGTCCCCTCTGTGAAGACAAAGTTGACTCCTCCTCTTGGCTACGTCTCCACCAAGTATCTATGTCACCTACATAACTGGCACACCTGGAGGCAATCACCTCCCCCTCCTCTGGAGACAGAAACTTCTGCAAATTACAAGATCATTAGCCTAGCTTTTATTAGTAGTGACTTTTCCCAATAGTGTGGTAATATTGATACTGACCAGGTAGCATGTAATATAATTATTTACCCAGGCAGAATACTGAAAAAGAAGTGGTCTCATAATGAGTACCTATAGAAGGACCACATGTGTAAGAAAGCCATTATAATTTTAATCTACTTCACAGACTTGGGTCTTAGTTAACTAACCAAGGAAAGGTAGTGAAGTTATCCTGGCATATATTTTGAAATTCAGAATAAAATTATTTTTAAAGTTATCAGTGGAAATGTAAATTTTAAAAACTGGGTAAATCACAATTACACTGAAAATGCTGTCTCCTTAAGGTGTCAACAATTAACTTTAAAATGCGGATATAATTATCAGTTACTATTCTGACAAGTAATTTCCAGTAAAACATGAACCAGTCACAAGATGTTCTAACCGAATGCAAAAGGTATTTCCACAATACAAGTGATGTAGCTTTAGCTTTACATATTTAACACCCAGCAGAGCCTGGCCCATTATAAGGACTAAAGTAGTGTTTAAAATTATTTCTCAGCCGAGCGCCGGTGGCTCACACCTGTAAATCCTAGCTACTCAGGAGGCTGAGATCTGAGAATCGCAGTTCAGAGCCATCCCAGGCAGGAAAGGCCATGAAACTTATCTACAACAAGCCACCAGAAAACCGAGAGTGGTGCTGTGGCTCAAGTGGTAGAGTGCTAGTTTTGAGATGAATTGCTCAGAGACAGAGCCTAGGCCCAGAGTTCAAGCACCATGACCCACCAAAATATATATATTTCTTAGGTCACAAGATCCCAGTTCTACAACAGGGTACATTCCCCTCCCAAGCAAAATAAGGCATGCCTGTAATCCTAGCTACTCAGGAGGTTAAGATCTCAGGATCACAGTGGGAAGCCAGCCTGGGGAAGCAAAATCCAGGAGACTCTTCTCTCCAATTAACCACGAATGAACCAGAAGTGGAGCTGTGGCTCAAGTGGCTGAGCGCTAGCCTTGAGACTAAGAAAAGAAGAAAAACAGGGACAGAGTCCAGGCCCTGGTTTCAGGCCCAAGAACCAGCACAAAATCACACCTTGAATAATTCGCTTGAAATGGAGTGATTGGCTGTTAGACCTATTTGCATTTGTTATCCAACTACTACCTAGCAGGTAGGTGCGGAGTCCCCACCACCCCTTCAATGGTGGTTTCTCAAGCGCGAGGAACAGACTTCCACGCGTTTCACAACAAGGAGTTAGCCAAGCCCAGCTTCCGGCTTTCTCCACTAAATGCTCACGTGGGCGCGGCAGCGCATGCGCCCTGGGGCGAGATGCGGGCGGGGAAGGCGCAGTGAGGCAAGAACCGGCGTCCTCTTGTCTCGGCCTTGGCCTGTCAAACTAGATCTGGACCCTGAGGCGATTTCGGCGGTCGAGTGGACTTAACCACGGCCCACTGCGTAGGGTTCGCTGCTCTGAGTCACTCAGGTGCGGCCGTTTTTCCTTGCCCCGGACCTGTTCCTTTAGGCTTGTCGTAGGGGTGCGATGGTGGGCGGGACTTGGGGGCGGTGGGCGGAGCTCGCTGACCTGGACTCTCCGATTGGCCGCTGCGTTTTCCTTTTCCCTTTCCTGGTCTCCTTGTCCAACTGTGAGGCCACCACTACCAGCCAAGAGCGGGCCCTGGCGCTTTGCTTTTTTTCCATTGAGGAGTTGCCCTACAGTGCTGCAGTAGCAGCAGTGTCTTTTTGTTTGGTTGGTGGCCGATGTCTATGTTTGCATTTATGGTGTACATTTAATTTACATCTAAACGAGTGCTTTGCAGGCAATTTTAAGTATTTTAGGCTCAGAAACGCTGTTTTCTCCCTCAGGTGCTCATTGCCTTCTTTTCTATGACAGATCCTGACGACAGTATATGCAAAAGATATATAAATATGATTACTAATATAGTAGTCTTGAGCATGATCATTTGCATTTCCTTAGCTTTCTGGATTGTGTCAATGACTGCTAGCACCTATTATGGTAAGTAGGAATGTTCTGAATTGTTTTCTGTACTCTAATAAATGGTAACACTTCCAGTGTAAAATCGGAAAGTCTAGTCCTGTGAATGGTTATGAATGTTTGCTTAACTTCCACAGCCTGAATTATATGTGTAACTGATGGCCATTTCAGAAAAGAACAGTAATGAAATGAAACTACTTAGCATTAGTGTGTAGGATTCTATTGTGGGAATTTTAACTGGGAAAGCCCTGCCTGTCTACAGGACAGGTCTCTCATCACCTTCAGATCATTCTGCCATGCAGGACAGAACTTCCAGCTTTAAAACAGAAGTCAGTAGTCAAAATTTTTAAAATTTTTATATGAAATCTCCCACTCTAAATATTGACTCAAATTATTTATCAACATACCACACTAGCCAAACAAAACATCTCTGAACTGGATACAACTTTCAGAAAATCATTTTCTTTTTTGTTTTCTCTCTCTCTCTTTTTTTTTTGTTGTTGGTTATGGCGTCTGAACTCTGGACCTGGGCACTGTCCTGAGCTCTTGAGCCACAGCACTACTTCCGGCTTCTTCTGCTTATATGATGCTTAGGAATTGAACCCAGGGCCTCATACATGATAGGCAAGCACTCTACCACTGAGCCACCTTCCCAACCGACAGAAAATCATTTTCTAACCATTGAATCAGGTTTATAGCCTGAATGCTATTTGTTTAAAATAAAATTGTCTCTCTGAAAGGAATTAAATCCTGGGGCTAGGAAGGTGGCTCAGTGGTAGAGTGCTTGTTTCGCATGCATGAAGCCCTGGGTTCGATTCCTCAGCACCACATAAACAGAAAAAGCTGGAAGTGGCACTCTGGCTCTAGTGGTAGAGTGCTGGCCTTGAGCTGAAGAGCTGAGGGACAGTGCCCAGGCCCAGAGTTCAGGCCCCAGGACTGGCAAAAAAAAAAAAAAGAAAGAAAGAAAGAAAGGAATTAAATCCTATTTAGAAAAAAGTGACAGAAACTGTTATTTAGAGGAAAAAAAAATACAGAGGAGCCAAAGATTGACTTTATAGCCCCAGATACTCATCTGTGAGAAACCCATTGTCATAAATAACTATAAATGGCTCTTAAAACTTCAACATAACACAGTTGGCCATCTCCCAATAAAATTGCCTCTCAGGCAATATTCAAATGTCACATAAGTAATTTACTTGGGTAATTTCGTTGAAGTTTTCTCTTACTTACAACTATTTTAATTCACAGTGTACTTAACCAAAGCTAAATGCCAAGTTTAACTTGTGACTTCACACAATTTATGTTCCCTCTTTATATTATTTTTCAGGTAACTTACGGCCTATTTCTCCTTGGCGGTGGCTATTTTCTGTTGTGGTTCCTGTTCTGATCGTATCTAATGGCCTTAAAAAAAAAAGTCTAGATCACAGTGGGGCTTTAGGAGGTATGTCTTTATTTTGAATGTTTAAATAACATCTAAATATTTTCTTATGCAGTATAAGTAATTTCAATTTATGTTTTCTAAATTTAGGATATATGAGACTGAATCTTAATGTTATATATTTTAGTGATAAAGTTATGCATTGATTAGCATTTATATTCTGTAAAAATTTCAAGAACAAGGGCTGGAAATGTGGCTTAGTGGTAGAGTGCTTGCCTATAGTTCATGAAGCTCTAGGTTAAATTCCTCAGTACCACATAAATAGAAAAAGCCAAAAGTGGCACTGTGGTTCAAGGGGTAGAGTGCTAGCCTGGAGCAAAAGAAGCTCAGGTACAGTACACAAGACCTGAGTTCAGGTGCCAGGACTGGCACTTTTTTTTTGTTGTTGTTCAGGAACTAGTATATACTTTTAGCGTAACACGAAAATTTAATTTGGGGTTAGTAGGTTAGACTTTGAATTATTAGAGCACTCCACCTAAAATGAAGGAACAATTGGACAGGGCACAGTGGTTCACATTTGTATTCCCAGCTACTCAGGAGATGGGTCATGGAGGACTGTGGCTGGAGGCCAAGTTATACACAAAGCGAGCCCTCATATCAACCATAAGCTGGATGTAGTGGTGTGCCACATGAGAGGCATAATAGGGCCATTAAAGCCGGGCACTAGTGGCTTACGCCTGTAATCCTAGCTACATAGGAGCTTGAGATCTGAGGATCACGGTTCAAAGTCCATGAAGCTCATCTCCAATTAACCACCAGAAAGCTGAAAGTGGGGCTGTGGCTAAAGTGGTAGAGCGCTAGCCTTGAGCTGAAGAGCGCAGGGACAGTGCCCAAGCCCAGAGTTCAAGTCCCACGACCAACCAAAAAAAAAAAAAAAGATATATATAGATATCTATATATATGGCCATTAATGTCCAGACTGGCCCAGGGAAAAGCTAGAGACCCTGTTCCAAAAACACTTGAAATAAAAAAGGGCTTCAAATGTAGCTTAAGTGGTAAAGTGACTACTTAGGAAAAAAAAAGAAAAAAGGAAGGAGGAGAAACACATGTCTTATTAATAATCCTAAATAAAGCAATTTAAACCAAGTGTTTTGATTTTATTTCCAGAACTGAGTTGAGGAAAGGCCATTTTTTCCCCTTTGTTTAATTTTAGTACTGAAGTTTGAACTCAGAGCTTCACATTTGCCAGGCAGGTACTCTACCACTTGAGCCACTCCACAAGTCCTTTTTTGTGTCATTTTCAAGATATGGCCTCTCCAAATGTTTTCTCTCATATGCAAAAGCTAGATCTAAAATACACTGGAACAGGATAAATTAAATAGAACTCTAGGCATTCACACACAGTGAGACTAAAGGAGGATACCCTTAGGAGAGGAACACAAAGGTACAAATGCCTGTATGCATCTGATCATATAAAATAATTTTACTGAAATGAACTCCAGGAAATGTACAAATGCCTGTATGCATCTGATCATATAAAATAATTTTACTGAAATGAACTCCAGGAAATGGACACAAGAGGTTTTTTTCTTTATTGTTCTTTTTTTTTTTATCTAGTTTGTTTAATCTGTCATTGGGAGAGTAGGGGGCAGAGAAATTAAGGGACAAAGGATGAACAGCAGTGGTACTCACTATATAACTTGTGGGTGGGGAGGGGGGGAAAATGGGAAATGGCAAGGGAAGGGATAACATTGTCCAAAAAGAAGTACATTCTTTATATGACTTATGTAACTGTAACCCCTTTGTACATCACCTTTACAATAACAATATAGATAGATAGATAGATAGATAGATAGATAGATAGATAGATAGATAGATAGATAGAATAGATAGAACCTTGCTTTATACCCAGGCTGGCATTGACTACCATTCTCCTATTTGTGCTTCCCTTTGTTGCTGGAGTGATATGCATTCACCATTGCACCCAATCATTATGCTTTGCTTATAGATTGGATGACTGGTATGCATGGGTTGAGATTGAGTTTCATGAACTTTTATGACTCAGGTGTGCTCTGATTCCCAATCTCCATCTAAGATGATATGGCTAAGATCATATGCTTAAGCAACTGCATCATTCACTGTGTGGAGCTGGCTTCAAACTCACAATCATCCTATATCATCCTTTCAGGAACCTTTACTCTCTGGGCTAATAGATAACACATTTTTAAAATAAAAATAAAGATTCTTTTTAGAAAATCATGAAGTGTATGAGAAAAAAATCATGAAATGTATCTGTTGGAAGATGTGGGATGGTCTTTTCTCAACAGAGTCAGATGCTTTTTTTGGGGGGGGTCCGGTCGTGGGGCCTGACCTCTGGGCCTGGGCGCTGTCCCTCAGCTCTTCAGCTCAAGGCTAGCGCTCTACCACTTGAGCCACAGCGCCACATCCGGCTTTTTTCTTTTTGCTTATGTGGTGCTGAGGAATCGAACCCAGGGCCTCAGGCATGCAAGGCAAGAGCTCTACCACTGAGCCATCTTCCCAGCCCCTCAGATGCTTTTTTCTAAGAAGGTAATTTGGAGCTGAAACCCAAGAAGGCAGCAATGAGAAGGTATGAGAGAAGCATATTTTTACAAGTTAACTAAATAACAAGACTTCTACAAGCCTAGCTTGTTTACGGAAAATAGTAAGAAAAGGGAAAGTAGTAAGAAATAAAGTAAAAAAAAATAGAAAAAGAAAGAAATAAAGTAAAAAAACTAGGCAAGAGCCAAGTTGTTTGGGGGCTAGTAAACTAAGTATGGATTTTATTCTAAAGGAGGTAGGATCTCTCTGCCTCAAATCAAGAGTGACATGTTATTTGTCATGGAGTTTTCATATTCTGCCAATTGAGGATTCCTTCTAAATATTGCTTGTAAGATAAGATCATTGCAGAAACAGGATTATTTAGAACTGACTGTCCTTGAAGTTCTCTACCCAACCTTTCAAACACTATTGATCTTTTAGCCTCTATCACACTGCAAATATTGAATTCCTCCACATTTATGTATAGAAGGTTTTGTGTTTTGCTTTTTGTTTTTTGCCAGTCGTGGGGCCTGAAGTCTGGGCCTGGGCGCTGTTCCTCAGCTCTTCAGCATCAAGGCTAGCACTCTACCACTTGAGCCACAGTGCCACTTCCAGCTTTTTCTGCTTATGTGGGCCTCATGAATGCAAGGCAAGCACTCTACCACTGAGCCACCTTCCCAGCCCCTAGAAGGTATTTCTAAGGAAGTTTTGTGAATTAGACTAGACCTTCATGGAGGCAAAGAGACTAGTAAGAGAAAAGAGGCTGGAATTAGGCAGGATTAATTTGAATAATAATGTCTGGCTATACCCCAATTTTTATGTGAAGAAAATGGGGTTTTAGTATAACTTAAAGAAGGACATATCATGAAATAAATATTAGTGAAGTTTAAACATAGGGCATCATGTTTGCAAAGGCATATTCCAAGGCATTAGGAAGAGCCCTAAAGTGGGCTGCTGGTCCTGTGTTTTGTGTTTTGCAAAGGTAAAAGATGTTTTTGTACTCTTTTGTTTTCTTAAGGCTTTCCAAATTTTGGAAGCCTTAGATCTCACAAACTCTTTGGATCTATCCCTGATATCATTCTTAGGGCCATGATGATAATTAGATAAAATAATTATCAAAGAATTCTCAGCCAGGCGCCGGTGGCTCACGCCAGTAATCCTAGCTACTCAGGAGGCTAAGATCTGAGGATCATGATTCAAAGCCAGGAAAGACCGTGAGACTCCTATCTCCAATAAACCACTAGAAAACCAGAAGTGGTGCTGTAGCTCAAGTGGTAGAGTGCTCGCCTTGAGCTGAAGAGCTGAGGGACAGCGCCCAGGCCCAGAGTTCAAGCCCCATGACCAGAAAAAAAAAAAAAAAAAAAAAAGAATTCTCAGTCAACCTTTACTGGTTGTTAGTTATTATTATTAGATAGACTTCTTCAAAGTTATGCTTAATTGTCTTTCTTCATAGTTAAGAAACTTGGTTGCCGGGCGCTGGTGGCTCACGCCTGTAATCCTAGCTACTCAGGAGGCTGAGATCTGAGGATCGTGGTTCAAAGCCAGCCCAGGCAGGAGAGACCGTGAGACTCCTATCTCCAATAAACCACCAGAAAACCGGAAGTGGCGCTGTAGCTCAAGTGGTAGAGCGCTCGCTCTGAGCTGAAGAGCTGAGGGACAGGGCCCAGGCCCAGAGTTCAAGCCCCACAACCAACAAAAAAAAAAAAAAAAAGAAACTTTGTTCATCAATTAATAGTTTTTTCTTTTGTAGGACCGTTGAGAATTAAAATTAACTAGATATTGACATTTCTTCCTATATAATAAACACGTGGGCTGAGAAGGTGGCTCAGTGATAGAGCGCTTGGCCTTGCATGCATGAGGCCCTGGGTTTGATTCCTTAGCATCACTTAAGAAAAAAGAAAAAAGCCGGAGTGGAGCTGTGGCTCAAGTGGTAGAGCACTAGCCTTGAGCTGAAGAGCTGAGGGATAGCGCCCAGGCCCAGAGTTTAGGCCCCACGACTGAACCCCCCCCCCCCCCGCCCCCCCAAAATCAACACGTTAGGAAGGACTATCTATTATTTATTTAATAAATGTTCATGTCAGGGCTGGGAAGGTGGCTCAGTGGTAGAGTGCTTGCCTTGCATGCCTGAGGCCCTGGGTTACATTCCTTAGCACCACATAAGCAAAAAGAAAAAAGCCGGAAGTGGCGCTGTGGCTCAAGTGGTAGAGCACTAGCCTTGAGCTGAAGAGCTGAGGGACAGCGCCCAGGCCCAGAGTACAAGCCCCATGACTGGACCCCCCAAAAAAATTGTGGATAAATGTTTATGTCTCATTTACTAATTTGAGGACTAAGAGTGTATCATATCTTTCTATGTCCCATGCTTTTGTGAACAGTAGTAGACACAAAACAAGTGTTCAGAAACAGATGAATATTGATTTCTAAACCTTGGCTCTTCTCCTGATAGTTTTATTCTATAATATAGTATTGTTTGGGACTTTATTTAAGGATTAAAAAAAGTAACACTCGTCCCAAGTAGTCATAATAGTAGGAAATCCTTTTCTAGAGTATGATGATAGGTTATTTAAACTTTCAGCATTGTGGAAGTGGGGCCTTGAGCTGAAGAGCTGAGGGACAGAGCTCAGGCCCAGAGTTCAAACCCCACAACCAACAAAAAAACAAAAAACAAAAAACTTTCAGCATTGTAATTTTCCAACCGGTAAACGGGAAGGAATAATATGTCTGTAGCCTTGAGTTATCCCTGTCAAATGTAGCATGACACCTGGCACATGCATAATATGTGTTTTACTGATGTCAGTTACTACGTTTTCTTCCCATAACTACTATTCACAGTGATTTAGAATTTTACTAAGGTTTATTACATGCATTTAGTAGATTTGGGATTAAGAAGTAAGAATCACAAAACTTTCCTTAAGACTAGGGTATTTCGAGCCCATTATGACACAGAGACACCCTATACCTAGGAGGTGATAGAATGGAGGAGATAAAGCAACACTTCAGGTGCACACTGAGATGGAAGTCCTGTCTCCTAGAAAGAGAATATTCCCAGAATAAGGAGAGGGTTACTTTAGAGCTAGAGAGAAAGCTGGACACCCATTGCTCATGCTTGTAACCCTACCTACTCAGGAGGCTAAGATCTTAGGATTGTAGTTCAAAACAGGCAGGAAAGTTAGTGAGATACTTACCTCCAATTAACCACCAAAAGCCAGAAATGGAGTTGTGGCTCAAATGGTAGATAGCCAACTTTGAGCAGAAAAGCTAAGGGACAGGGCCCAGGCCCTGAGTTCAAGCTCCAGTACCAGCACACAAAAAAGAAAAGAAGTGGTGGAGTGGAAAAGTACTCATCAGCTCTAAAGTACTGCTGGTGATTTGTTCCAAGTAGATTTGTCTACTTATTGTTAACATAGTTCTGTGTAGTTATTCCAATGCTTTCTTTGGACATGTAAAGATGGACAGTTTGTTGTTAGGCTTTAACTTAATTTCATTTGCCAAAACAGTCTAAATGTTTATTATTTTATTCATAGTCATCAAATAGTTATATGTACAAATATATGAATTCTCGATACTATTCTAGGCACTTAAGATTTTAATAGTGGATGAAGTAGATTGAAATCCAACTATCATAAATGTTCCATTTCTCATCAGGGTAGACAGATAATGAGCAGGGTAGGTGTAGTCCCCTCTATTCCCCTTCTAGAAGGAGATGCTACAAGGGGAAGAGAGCTAACCTTTGTTGGGAGGCAAGGAGTTGTCCAGAAAGATTAGTGCTGATACTCTGCAGGATTTCACAAGAACAGCACAGCCTATTTTCAGTCACTAGTCTGGTGCTCAGTCTTTTTAAAGTAGAAGCTTCACTCTGTCATATACTGAGATTATCAGAGCCAATAAAGCTATGTGAGAGTTTCCCATTGTTATTAGTCTGATAGAATGCAGAACTACAAGGCCAGCTGGAAAAATCATTGTTCAGGCATGCCCTATTCTTGTAGTCATTGAGCACAAAGTCTGAGAAACAGCAAGTCAGGTCTGCATGGTTTCCTCTTCTGATTGTGGTTCAACAGATCTGCCTGTTTCTTTTGGCCTTCAAGTCCTACACAGGGTGTGAACCTTCTGATTTTCATAGTTTTTCTCTAGCCAGATTGTATATGAAACAGATTAGATTTTAGTTTGTTAAATTACTATGAAATTTTAGAACTGCCCTTCCCTTTTCTGCCTCTCAGAGATTATACAAGTCACCTGACTTATAAAAAGTGAAAGTCAAGCCGGGCGCTGGTGGCTCATGCCTGTAATCCTAGCTACTCAGGAGGCTGAGATCTGAGGATCGCAGTTCAAAGCCAGCCCGGGCAGGAGAGACCGTGAGACTCCTATCTCCAATAAACCACCAAAAAACCGGAAGTGGCGCTGTAGCTCAAGTGGTAGAGCGCTCGCCTTGAGCTGAAGAGCTGAGGGACAGTGCCTAGGCCCAGAGTTCAAGCCCCACGACCGACAAAAAAAAAAAAAAAGTGAAAGTCACCAGGCGCCAGTAGTTCATGCCTGTAATCCTTGCTACTCAGAAGGCTAAAATCTGAGGATCACAGTCCAAAGCCAGCCTGGGCAAGAAAGTCCATGGGACTCATCACCATTAACCACCAGAAAACCAGAAATAGTGCTGTGGTTTAAGGGGTAGAGTACTCGCCTTGAGCTGAAGGGCTGAGGCACAGTGCCGAGGATTCAAGCCCCACAACCACCTCTACCAAAAAAAAAGGTCCATGAGACTCTTTTCTCTAATTTACCAGCAAAAAGCCAGAAGTTGAAGTGTGGCATTGTTTGAAAGGACCAAAATATGTTAGTTTTGTGTCAATTTTATGGAAATGACATTCAGTTTACTGCTTGGTGATAACATAGTTGGTAAAATGCCAGTGTTTGAGGAATGTACATTCAAGATATATGTGGAAGTAACTTTAAAAATCCCTTTATTTTCCATAGCTTTCATATGTGGATGAAGTGTAATTCTGTATTTATGTGTTTCTTACAGGGCTGGTGGTTGGATTTATCCTAACCATTGCAAACTTCAGCTTTTTTACCTCTTTGCTCATGTTTTTCCTTTCTTCTTCCAAACTCACAAAATGGAAGGGAGAAATAAAGAAGCGTCTAGACTCAGAATATAAAGAAGGTAAAACTAATTACATTTATTATAACTCAAGATGGTAAACTTTGTTTCACTTAATTAGAACATGTTTTACATTGTCAAAACAGATAAACTTTGAAAATGATTTGGTAGCCTAATTTAGTTTGTCATCTATTTTACCAGAAGCAGAATAGTGGAATTTTAGAAACATTACAGTCTATCATTAATCATTTTAGATCTGTTAATAACAATAATGAAGTCATACTACTTTGTCTTTTAAAAATGTAGTCCACTTTCTTAAATTTTAATATAGATGTTTATGTAAGTGCATAATTTTCCTTCAGAGAAGAAAACAGTTCTGTCCTTTTTACATGCTTGCTTCTTTGCCAGGTGGGCAGAGGAATTGGATTCAGGTGTTCTGTAATGGAGCCGTGCCCACAGAGCTGGCTCTGCTGTACATGATAGAAAATGGCCCTGGCGAGATGCCAATTGACTTTTCCAAGCAGCACACTGCTTCCTGGATGTGTTTGTCTCTCTTGGCTGCACTAGCCTGCTGTGCTGGAGATACCTGGGCTTCTGAAATTGGCACAGTTCTGAGTAAAAGCCCGCCAAGGCTGATAACAACATGGGAGAAAGTTCCTGTTGGTGAGTCTTGATTTGAATTCCTTAAAAATACAAAAACAAACAAATCTTGTAATTATTTACAAGCCTTTTAAGAGTTGTCTCTGTTCTTTCTAATTAGAAAAATACTATGGACTGTTAATTTGGTGATAATAAGCTGGGCAGTGGTGTAATTCCTGTAATCATAGCTACTCAGAAGGTTAAGATCTGGATGGAAGACAGCCCAGGCAGGAAAGTCTTTGAGACTCTTCTGTCTCATTAACAAACAAAAGACTGGAAATGGAGGTGTGGCAGAGCACTAGCCTTGAGCAAAAAAGCTCTGAGTCCCAGCCCCCTCCCAAAAATTGGTTTATAATATAATAGTAATAAGTGCAAGAAATTAGACCTATAGAAATCCTACAGGAGTACAGAGATTGACCAACATACTTACCAATGAAGAAGGCAAGGAAATAGAGTAATGGTGTATTTCTTAAGGACTTGCTACAAAATTAGTGCTTGTTATTGTTTGTTTGTTTGGGTGGTATTAGGTTTTGAACTCTAGGCCTCTGGCTTGGTAGACTGGTGCTCTACCACTTGAGACTTGAGACATACCTCTAATATGTTGGTTATTTTGGAGATGGAGTCTATAGAACTTTTCTTCCAGGTTTGGACTTGAATTGTAATCCTCCAAATTGCAGCCTTCTGAGTAACTAGGATTACAGCCATATGCCATGCCTGGTAAATTTATTCTTTTCTTGTTGTTGTTGTTTTGGTGGGGGTGGTCATGGAGCTTGAACTCAGGGTCTGGACGCTGTCCCTGGATCTTTTTTTGCTCACGGCTAACATTCTACCACTTGAGCCATACAGGTTCACTTTTGGTTTTCCAATGGAATTAGAGTCTCACAGACTTTTCTGCCCAGGCTGGCTTCGGATTACAGTAATCCTCAGATCTCAGTCTCCTGTGAGGCATAAGCTACCAGTGCCCTTGCAAACAAAGAAACTAAAGCACAGAGGAGTAGCACTCAGGTTCCACTGAACCATTCCACTTCAAATGCTTTACTGAGGAGAAAGACTAGTATTTAAATAGACTATTATCTTGAGATTATATAATAAAGAACTGGGGAGCTGGGAAGGTGGCTCAGTGGTAGAGCGCTTGCCTTGCATGCATGAGGCCCTGGGTTCAATTCCTTAGTACCACAGAAGCAAAAAGAAAAAAGCCAGAAGTGGTGCTGTGGCTCAAGGATAGAGTGCTAGCCTTTAGCTGAAGAGATGAGGGACAGCGCCCAGGCCCCAGAGTTCAGGCCCCACAACCACACCCAAAAAAAAGAACTGAGGAATTTTTATCTTGGAGCTATGGATCAAACTGAGGCTTTGTGCATTCTAGGCAAGTACTGTACCACTGAGCTACCCCTCAGCTCTAGAGAATTCTTTCTAATAATCTCCTTGACATGTGATTTCATAAAATAGTTGATCTCATGGAAGTTAAGAGTAGAATAGTGATCAGGTAGAAGAAAGAATTTTGAATGTTTTCTCCATAAGGCAGTGATAAATGTTTGAGTAGATATATATAGTTACCATGATTTGAACATGAAACATTGTGTACAGTTATTGAAATATTTCATGGTATACCTTAAATATGTACAATTTTTAGCTAGCAGTTAAAATCAGAGAACTCTTTCCTTTTAAAATATTGTTAATAAATAGATAATAACTTAGTCTTGCTTTGCTGATTTTTTTTTTTTTTTTTTGATCAGTCATGGGGTTTGAACTCTGGGCCTTGGCACTGTTCCTGAGCTCTTTCCTGCCCAGGCTGGCTTTGAACTGTGATCCTCAGATCTCAGCCTCCTGAGTAGCTAGGATTACAGGCATAAACCACTGGCACCCAGCTGACTTTGCTGATTCTTAACATATCATTTATGCATGTTTCTCCTTCAGGGACCAATGGTGGAGTTACAATGGTGGGTCTTGCTTCCAGTCTCCTTGGTGGCACCTTTGTGGGCTTCGCTTACTTCCTCACACAACTGGTTTTTGTGAATGATTTAGACATCTCTGCTCCCCAATGGCCCATTATTGCTTTTGGAGGTCTAGCTGGATTACTAGGATCAATTGTGGACTCATATTTAGGGGCAACGATGCAATTTACTGGTAAGAATATAATCTTATTTTTTTTAATCATTGGTTATTTTTAAGATCTTGATTCTCTTTTCCACTCTTAGGTTTTGAAATTAGGAATTTTCAAAAGGGAAGTCAAACAGGGCAAAGCAGAGTAATCTGTGATTTAAAATGTTCTGATTAGATCCAGGGCACTTGTGGCTCACACCTACTAAAAAGGCTAAGATCTGAGGATCACAGTTCCAAGCCAACCCAGGCAGGAAAGTCCATGAGACTATTTATCTCCAGTTAACTAGGAAAAAAAATGGGGGGGACAGTGCCTAGGCCCTGATTTCAAGGTTTATCACCAGCAAGATAAAATTTTTAAAAAAATAACTAAATGGGGGAAGAACCATGGAAAATTAAAACAAAAAAGTCACAGTCAATCTTTCAGAGATTGTCTCCTTTTCAGGAATAAAAGTTTTGTTTTTTTTTTAAGTTTATCTGACTCCCATGTCATTTGCTTCTTTTCCACCCAGGTTTGGATGAAAAGACTGGCCTAGTGGTCAACAACCCAACGAATGAGACAAAGCACATAGCTGGGAAACCCATTCTTGATAATAATGCAGTGAATCTGTTTTCTTCTGTTCTTGTTGCTCTTCTGCTCCCAACTGCTGCCTGGGGTTTTTGGCCTAGAGAATGAACTTTATCTCATTTCCACAGGTTGACACTGGTGAGTCCAGGTGAATTTGCAATTCCAGGTTTCATCCTAAGAATAGTATTTGTAATGGCAAAGTTAGAACTGGATGCTTTCCTAACATCTACTCACTTTAAGAGCTAGTAAAAGGTACAGACAACTTATTTACATGTATTTTTCTTCTGTTGAATATAGCTGCTTCAACAATTCCCTCTATATTGCTGTCTATTGAAGTGAAAGATCTACATAGTTAATGTATTTTTTGGCTGTATTTTTAAAGCAGTATAAGCATTAAGAGAAATACCATAATGCCAATTATTCTGAAGTTATATTTGTTTTAAATGGCTTTAACTGATACTTGTGAAAGCCTAAGTAAGTATATTATCCATGTCTTCTCCCATTACCTTGCCAGTCACAGTTGTAAAAAGTTCAGAGATAGTCAAGTGCTGTTAGCTTTGCTGTAATCCTAGCTACTCAGGAAGCTGAGATCTGAGGATTGCAGTTAGAAGCCAGCCCAAGCAGGAAATCATGTGACTCCTATCTCCAGGTAACTATCAAAAAGCCAGAAGTGGAGCCAGGTGCCAGTGGCTCAATGCCTATTAACTTAGCTATGCAAGAGGCTGAGATCTGAGGATCACATTCAAAGCCAGCCTGAGCAGGAAACTCTGTGAGACTCTTCTCTCCAATAAACCACTCAGAAAACCAGAAGTGGTGCTGTGTATGGCTCAAGTGGTAGAGAGCTAGCCTTGAGCTTAAAAGCTGAGGGAAAATGTCCAGGCCCAGAGTTCAAGCCCTACATCCAACAAAAAAATAATTAATTAATTAAATGATAAGGCAGAAATAATAAACATTCAAATTAAATAAAGGTGGAAAAAATGCTAAGAATTTGGAGAATTATTATTTGGGTCATGATACCAAAGCTGTAACTTCTTCAATTGATCCACTGAGATTTTTCCAAGTCAAGACAAAAGCCAATAAATAGTTGTTTCACATGGAACAACCACCTCCATGATCACTCTGTGACTGAAGTTTATGTTTTTTCTAAAACAGTTCTGCGGCAACAAATTTCAGAATGCTGGCGTTCATCATTTGTAAATCGTAGTTACATATCTCTTAAGGAGGAGAAAGGTCAAAAGGAACCAGTCCGCATCAAGATCATTGTCTTGCAAAGTCCAGTATAAAAGAGGAATAATGATTAGCTAAAAACAAGTTATTTGGGCTGGGTGCTAGTGGCTCACACCTGTAATTTGAGCTACTTGGGAGACTGAGATCTGAGGATTATGGTCCAAAGCCACCTCAGGCAGGGAAATACATGGGATTTTTATCTCCAGTTAACCAGCAAAAAGCCAAAAATGGAGCTATGGCTCAAGTGGTAGAGTGCTAGTGTTGAGCAAAAAAGCTCAGGGACAGCACCCAGGCCCTGAGTTTGAGCCTCAGGACTGGCAAAATAAATCGTTATTTGGAATAGTCCAAGTGAAATGAAAAATACATTTTATCCTCAGGATAACACATACTAGGTCAAAAATAAGTCTTGACAAGTTAACTAAAGATGAAATCATCCAGTGTCTTCCCTATTACAATGGACTAAAACTGGAATCAATAACATAAAGAAAACTGGAAAAGTCCACAATTTTTTTTTTTTTTTGGGTCCGGTCGTGGGGCCTGAACTCGGCCTGGGCGCTGTCCCTCAGCTCTTCAGCTCAAGGCTAGCGCTCTACCACTTGAGCCACAGCGCCACTTCCGGCTTTTTTCTTTTTGCTTATGTGGTGCTGAGGAATCAAACCTAGGGCCTCATGCATGCAAGGCAAACGCTCTACCACTGAGCCACCTTCCCAGCCCAACAAATTTGTTTTACTAATGAGCCAAAGAAGTCAAATGGGGGCATTTGGAAATACCTTGAGATAAATGAAAGTGGAGAAAGAAAGTAACAAAATATATGAAATGCAACAAAAGTACTAGGAAGTTACAGCTATGATGGGTGCATTTAAAAAGATAAAATCACAAACCTCACTTTATACCTCAAAAAACTAGAACAAGCAAAACCCAGAGCTAGCTAAAAATGGGGGAGAAATGGTAAGACTAGAGCAATAGTGAACGAAATATAAAATAGATATGAAATATAAGAACAATAAATCAAGAGTTTATTTTTTAAAGATCAACAAGATTCACAAAACCCTAAAGAAAAAAGACAGTTTCAAGTAAAATCATAATTGAAAGACAATCAGTACCAAAGAAATAAATAGGATTGATAAGGAATACTACAAGATCTGGGTACCTCTGGCTGACAACTGTAACTACTCAGGAAGCTGAGGTCTGAAGATTGTGGTTCAAGCTAGCCTGGGAAGGATAATCCATGAGACTGTTATCTGCAACTAGCCTCCAAAAAGCCAGAATTGGAGTAGAGTGTCGAGAAGTAGAGTATTAGCATTGGGTGGGGGGAGAGAGGGGGGAAGTTCAGGGACAATGCCCAGGCCTTGAGTTCAAGCCCCAGGACTGGTACAAAAGAAAAAAAAAAGAATACTACCACAAATTATATACCAATAGAGTGAATAATATAAATTAAATGGGTAAGTTCCTTGAAATGTGCAACTCACTAAGACTGAATTAAGAAAAAGAGGAAAATTTGGACCAATAGTATAAGAAGATTAACACTTACATTGCCCAGTTAAAGGCCCAGACCTGAAGAAGTCTGCCAAATACTTAAGAATGAATACTAATTATTCTCAAACTTAAAAGAAAAAAATTAGAGGCAATAATTCCAGGCTCAAATCTGAGGCCATCATTTCCCCAATACTGAATAAGACAAAGACACTACAAGAAAGCTATTCATCAATATCCCTGATAAATATTGATGCAAAAAAAAACCCTTAAAATAGTAACAAATAGAATTCAACAGCACATTAAAAGGATAATTCTCCATAACCAAATATGACTTCTTACTGATATGCCAGGATGATTCACTATGTGAAAACTGGCCAATATTCTACACCACAATACAAGGAGAAAGATCTACCCAAGTATCACAATTGATGCAGAAAAATAATTTGCCAAAAGACAACACTCTCTCATGAAAAGACAATAAATACAGTAAGAAAAGAAAGATATTACCTCAGAATAATAAAGGTATTACCTCAGAATAATAAAGGGGTAAAAAGCTGAAAGCTTTTCCTTTAAAAATCAGGAACAAAGTTAAGTTCAACCCTTCCAGCAACTTCTCTTCAACGTAGTATTAGAAGTCCTAGCCAAAGCAATAAGGCAAGAAAGAAAAGCAGAATGTATCCAAACTGGAAAGGAAGAAATACAATTATCTTTATAACTAAAAGCAGTTTACATATATATCAAGCCATAGAAGCCACAAAACAAAACCCAACTTTTTTGGAATAACCACCCTAGTCAGCAAAATTGTGAGACACAAAATTGCCACACCAAAGTCAGTAGTGTTTCTGTATACTATTGAACTATGAAAAGGAAGAGAAGGAAACAATTTAATTTATAATAGCATATAAAGGAATAAAGTAATTAGGAACAAACCTGATCAAGGAGGTTAAATATTTGTATACTAGATCACAAAACAGTAAATATTAATAAAAGAAGACAAATGGAAAGACTTCTAATGTTTATGAAGGAGGAAGAGCTAATAAAGATGTCCATGCTACCAAATATATATTCAACACAACCCCTCTCAAAGTCCCCAATACATATTTCACAGAATTTTTTTAACTCACCAGGCATAATGGTGACTTCTTGTAATTCTAGCACTCTGAAAGCTTAGGAAAGATAATCAAGAGTTTGAGGCCAGCCTGGGCTGCATAGTGAGACCCTATCTCAAACAACCAAATGCCAGAAAAACAGAAAAAGTCATCCTATAATTTTTATGGAATATCAAGGAATCTTGAGTAGCTAAAACAGTTTTGAAAAACAAAAGTTCCTTATTGCAAAACCTACTACTGAGCAAAGTAGTCATTATCAGGGTATTACTGGCATAAAAAGACAAATAAATAGAATAGCTTGGAAAACTCAGAAGAAATTCTTGTATATTGTCAAATGATCTCCAACAAAGATACCAGCAATAGAAAATCCACAAAGGATAGTTTCTTCAACAAATATTTAGGAGAAAACTGGTTATCTGTGTGCGAATGAATAAAATTGAACTCTTAATTTTACACTTATACAAAACTTACTGCAAAGTGAATTATAGACCCAAGATCTAAAACTATAAAACCCATAGAAGAAAACATAAGCAGAACATTCTATTATATCGGATTTTCAATGATGGTTTGTGATTACAATGATTTTTAGGCCTCAAAGGCCACAGTGAAGAGTGAAAGACAACCTATAGAATGGGAGAAAATAGTCGCAAATCGCCAATCTTAACAACAGGCTAATGTTCATTATATATAAAGAATTACAACTCAACAGTAAAATACCAAATAACTCAATTTAAAAATAGAAAAGTTGAGAATACATTTCTGTGAAAATAGGTCTCTTCTGGCTCACAATTCTAGAGGCCCGGGCTGGGAAGGTGGCTCAGTGGTAGAGCGCTTGCCTTGCATGCGTGAGGCCCTGGGTTCAATTCCTCAGCACCACATAAGAAAAAAAGAAAAAAGCCAGAAGTGGTGCTGTGGCTCAGGTGGTAGAGCACTAGCCTTGAGCTGAAGAGCTGAGGGACAATGCCCAGGCTCAGAGTTCAGGCCCCACGGCCGGACTCCAAAAGAAAAAAACAACAAAAAAAGAAAACAATTCTAGAGGCCTCTGGTTGAGGGAACATATCTACCAACTGCTTTCTTGCTGGTAGAGCCCTGGGTTAGGGGGAGGAGCTGGGGAGGAGGGAGGAGCTGGGGGAGGGGAGGGGTAGGGCATCATGTGGAGAGAGTCTCTGAGCATGTGTAAATACTTGTCTTTTCTAGCCTCTCTTATTGAGCTACCAGAATTCATATATAATTACCTTCTCATCACCTTCCAAAGTTTCCCTGTCACCAGGTCCAGGCCAGAAGGTATTTGGTCCCATTGATGAAAGAATTCAAGGATGGACACAGAAGACTTAATGGGAATGAAACTAAGAGTAAACTCCAGTACCAGTATCAGGTCCAACCACTTGCCCGCTTCATGCTCACTAAAGAGACAAGCAAAGGGTGTAAAAGGTTCTAATAGACAGCTGGGTGCCGGCCACTCACACCTGTAATTCTAGCGACTCAGGAGGCTGAAATCTGAGGATCATGGTTCAAAGCCAGCCTGGGCAGGAAAGACTATGACACTCTTATCTACAATAAACCACCAAAAAACCAGAAGTGGCACTGTGGCTGAAGTGGTAGAGCATTCACCTTGAGCTGAAGAGCTGAGGGACAGCGCCCAGGCCCAGAGTTCAAGCCCTACGACAGACAAAATAAAAATTTTTTAAATTAAAAACAAAGACTTAATAGACATCTCATGCAACATTTCAGCCCATCTTCAACCGTATCTGGGATTTAGACATGAGCCATGTGTTTAAATAAAGATTGGAGGGGGAATATTTGCATAAATAAACAGTTTCAGC